GCTACAATTAATAGGAGGTTGTGGAGAGACGTGATCGCCCACGTCTTGAAGGGACACGGGATATAGAAGAAGATATACCCCTATTCCTAATCAATTCCTTCTTCTCACTCTCTCACTACCACTTTCTCTCTCTCTTTCTCTGTCTGTCTGTCTGTCTGTCTCTGTCTCTCTCTCTCTGTCTCTCTCTCTCTCTCTCTGGATGAAGCCTGTGTGGTGATGACATGCTGTAGTTGATCGGAGGGCCACCTAAACTGAAGTCTATGGCCAAGTCTGAGGTTTACCCTGATGTAATCAACACTAATGAATGCATGGCCAAGGTTAGCCTTCATTTTGGAGGACATTGGTTTGACCTAGATAGGAATGACTTCAGTCAGGACTACTTGCCCAAGATACGCTATGCATGAACAAACAATTCTCCAGCTTTCAATCTACATAGTGCGATGGATAAATTGTCGTGCAAATTACGCAAAAATGAAAATAACACTGACATCTCATCTTAACAGATAATTACCAAAATTAAACAAAAATATCTTGAAACAGTAAGGGTAAATTTATTCAATAAAATCACCATTGGCTTCAACCATGGTCTCCAGAAAAATTTGGAATCTCCTGTAACTCTTCAATCCCAGCATGCGGCACCTTTGGAAAGTGACGAAAACAATACCACAGGTTGACTCAAGCCTTGTAAGTGAAATTGAGTAGACGGAACCCTTGCAGAAGTCAGAAGTCATCATGACTGAGAGCTTGAGTGTGCAGGCCTTGTTCAAATTATTGATCACACTAGATAACACGCGCTTTCCCAGAAACTCTAACTAAGGTCTGCTCTTCATAGTTGCAGTATAAACCACAGTTGGGCTCTGTGGGTGTTTAGTAAACATAAATGTGCCTGAGCAAGCATCTGCAATTGGGATTGGCTAGCCGCCCTAGTAAACAGGTATCCTTGAATACAATTGGCTAGCTATACATATATATACATAGTTATATATTTCTATTTGCAGGTATGTAAGTATGTCTATATTATTATTACCCTCTGTAAATAAATGGACTGCTCCATTATTATTACAGTACAGTATAAATATCAATATTTAAATTAAGAAATCGTCACTTTTCAATCAGCATCTGACAATTGAATGATGAATGAAACTCAGTGTTGTGTTACCAGTGAGGAATAATATATATATATATATATATATATATATATATATATATATATTATAGCTCTTTTATTATACACTGAGCATTATTTTATTACCACCAGTACTCAGTATGGTTTGATATTTTATATTCATATGCAGAGTGCAATGGATAAACTGTCATCTGAATTACAGAAAAATGAAAATAACATTTCATTTTAACAGATATATTTACCAAAATTACACAACACTATCTTGAAATACTAAAGAGTAAATTTATTTAATAGAATCATCATTAGCTTCAACCATGACCTCCAGACCACTTTGGAATCTCCTGTAACTCTTCTGGGTAGTCTACTTTTTTAAGTTGGTGAATGCTGTTATAATCCTTGCCTTCAGTTCATCTTTGGTGTTGCAAGAAGTTTTGTTGATCTCTCACACAACTGCACCTCATGCATGATAATCAAGGAGTTTACAGACTGGGGAGTTAGGTAGCCAGATGTAAGGAGTGATGTGGCACAGAAATTGTCTGACAGCCATGACTGGGTTCTCCTGATTGTATGACATGGTGCAGAGTCCTGTTGCCAGAAATAGGGTCTCCCAGCAGCCACTCTCTTGACCCAGGGCAGCACTACCTGCTTAAGGCACTTGATGTAGGCATTCGTGTTGAGTCTGAGGCCCTGTTGGAAGCATAATTTTGCTATCATTAGTGATCACTCCAAACACCTTCATAATTACTATTAGTAAAACTCTAAATAATAAATACCAACCCTCATCCATCTGCTAATGAACTAACCCAACATTACAGACTAAATACCCAAAAATATTATCGATAAAAATAAAAGGCAACCTACTTCAAAACAAAAGTATATAGCTATGATGACAGTTGATGACAACTGAAAAATGATTGTAATACATGGAAAAATATTCATGATTATGAAAGGATTATTCTAAAAATAAGCAGACATACTGTTTTAATTTATTAGAAAAAGAAGTTGCTGCCTATGTGCACAAATTTTAAAATATATACATTTTTATATATATATATATATATATATATATATATATATATATATATATATATATGAATAAAAGACAAGAGGAAAAACTATTCTTAGCCAATGTGTTTCGTTCTCTGAGGTATTTAACAAGACAAAAAGTCCCTCATAGGATGAAATGTGTCAACTAAGAATAGTTTTCTTCTTGTTTCTTTATTCAATTTGTTCCTTTAAAGATCTATGCTTACACTCTTTCTGAAAATAATTTATATATATATATATATATATATATATATATATATATATATATATATATAGAGAGAGAGAGAGAGAGAGAGAGAGAGACACTTAACAACATATTATGGTGTCAAAAGCTATCTTTCGGTTTTGAATGACCAGACGATGTGCGTACACGAATGCCATTATTTGCTCTGAAATGGACACCCCGACCCTTCCTCGTCTTGACCTCTTTCCAAAGGTGACTGATATGTGAATAAAAATTAACTCTTAGGCCCCTTATCAAAAAAATTATTCTTATCAAAAAAATCACCCATTTCAATAGTAATTAATTTTGCGAATGGACATTCTTATAAAGATGCGTAAATTTCAAGATCGGTTATTCCTAAATTTTCGCTTGACGATGAAACAGGTCTTGATACTTTAACTCAATTTGATTTTAATAATTATATTGAGGTTTTCAGCTATCGTTTTTGAAACATGAGAACTCTTATGTAGGGAAGGAATCATATTTTTTAAAAAATAATTATATTTTAAGCTCTACTTCTGTATAGAGCAGTGTTTTTTTAAAAATAAAAACAAAAATAATAAAGACTTCTGGATTATTTACCTAACATGTTCTTTCCTATTTTTCTACATATCTGCATATATATATATATATATATATATATATATGTGGGCTGACAAGGTAATGTTTTTAACTTTTTTATTTAATTTTTCTTGTGTTCTTATAATATTCTTTTTTTCTGAACATAAATTATGTAGAAATTGTCCAAATGTTCTGTATGTCTGCTTTCAGCTATACTTTTAGCCATTATCAAGGATGGTTTTATTTTCAATTTTATAGGAATGTTTTATTTTCAAATCATGGTCAGCACATTTTGGCCATGTTCATAGTTGATATT